TATTTTCCTTCTGGATTTCTCTTTCCTTCTTGTTGTAGAATTTCCAGTCAGTCAACTTTCCGGTAGTTCTGGATAGTGTCCACTTTATATTTTAGTTATATTTTTTGAAATTGTTGTGTGAGGTTGCAGTTAGGCGTTTACCTATGCCGCCATCTTGTGTGTGTTTTTGTGTTTTTTTGTGTGTGTTTTTTTTTTTTTGGGGGGGGGGGGGTTCCATGTTAAATGGGCAGTTAACTTGCTGTAATCCTTGTTGTATTTATGAGGAATATAAAAATATTGATAATTTTATATGTTGTTTTAAAATTTTATAATTATATACATTTAAAATTTAAAGGTAATCACAAAGAATAAAAAAAAAATAAGCTTTGGCAAGAAGAGAAAAATGTACTGAAAACCAAAAAGCCCAATTTAAAAGAGTAAAAATTAATCTCAATTACTGTGAACTAAGTGAATTGAACACAAGAAGGAAAGAGAAATCCAGAAGGAAAATAACATGTTTAAAGACAGAGATTATCAGGATTTAAAAACATAATGTAGGCATATACTAAATGTCACGCTACATAAATTAAAAGAATATCCCAAAACTGAAAATAAAGGAATTTAGAATGGTATTCATAAAAACTTATCCAAAAAAGCTGGAATGGCAAAACTAATTGCAGATGAAATAGAATTTGACTAAGTTTTCTAGGAATAAAAGGTGACATCATGGATACTAGTACCCATGGTTGAGTTTTCTTCCAGAAAGTGCTATCGTTTTTCATTTCTAGCAGGAAAGCATGAGTATTATTCCCAACAAGCACTCCAATGTAGGGCATGATGTAGTGGCATCATGTTTATACTGCCACTTTGACAAGCAAAAAGGAATCTTTCAGTAGTTGAATTTCAAGCCCATATTTTCTCAGCAGTGACCACACAACAGAACCAATGAGTTTGTGTGTGTGTGTTTTTTTTTTTTTTTTTTTGGGGGGGGGGTTGTTTGTTTGTTTGTTTATATATTTTTATTGACTTCAGAGAGGAAGGAAAAGGGAGAAAAAAGAGAAATGTCAATGATGAATCACTGATGTGCTACCTCCTGCACGCCCCATACTGGGGATGGAGCCCGCACGCGCCCTCACCTGGAATTGAAGCATGAACTCCTGGTTCATAAGTCAACAGTCAACCACTGAGCCATGCCAGCCAGGCAGAAATGATGTTTTGTTATTCATGAGGAGTCCCCAGTCCAGGAAAGCAGAAATTGCCCCTCCTGTGAGGGTCCCTGGGGACACTCATCGGCTGGGGTAACATCCAGAGAGGAGAAGGAGGACCCCATCCTTTCTCAGCACTGAGCACACGGGAAGTCCAGCTTTACCCGGTCATCCCCCTCAGGTTACATCTGCTCTGTATTACTCTTCAGCAGCTTAGAACATTCTATTTACTTTCTGGACAATCACAGCAAAAACTGTTCAGCACCTGAGGCAGCAAACAATAACAGTTTCCAACAACCACGATGAAGGACCAATTGTCCTTCAGCTTCACACAAAACATCCATTTAAAACTCTTGACTGGAATTAGGTGCAGTTAACAATTTCCAGAAAAAATTCTCCCATGTCTTTTCCCTGAAAATAGGGCAAGAAGATGTTTTCTATGAAATTTAGTACACATTTTCAGAAACTGTTCATAAAAATTCTTTGAACTTACAAACAAATGACTAATTCATGCCAGACCACTCTGCTGAAGCCTTCACACCGTTTTCTGGCCCAATCCGAAAAAAAAAAAAAAATCTATTTAAGCGGTATCACTGTCCCAGTTTTATTGACAATCAAACTGAGCACCAGAGAGTCATTTAAGACTTGCCCAATGCCAAAAACCAACAAGAGGACCAGGTCTCAAACCTAAACTAATGAACTTGCAGAGGTAAGCTCTAATGCACTACTGTTATTCATCTCATCAGCCTGGTTAAGACTAAAAATAATAATTTACCATGAACCTGCCTGGATCATTTAGCATACTCTGTGTAATCAAGACCTTCTGGGGGGAAAGCACAGATTATGATTAATATGTGCAGAAACTTCAGATCCAATATTGCTAGTCATATTCTGGAAAAATTCTAATGTGTAGTTACAGCAACAAGCAGTTGGGTAAAGACAGTTAATCATTTCAGATAATGCTGGATTCAGGTGAAATTATTCCCTGACAGACTGAGCTTCTGGTTCTCAAGCTTTTGCTGAGGCAGCTGCTCTCCCTTGATGCTTTAGAAAGATTTTTGATTTATAGTCCGAGGTTAAAATTACCAGGGAGTTTTAAAAGTACTGAGAAAGCCATATGCATCTTTCTGTCACCATCTCAAAATGCTGCTTTTCATTTTGCCGACATTTCTGCCTAAGTGGCTAGAATCGAGTTCTGATAAAAAAAAAAAAAAAAAAAAAAAAAAAAAAAAAAAAAAAAAAAAAAAAGAAAGAAAGAAAGAAAGATAACAAGTTAACATGGAGAAGCTGTTATAAGAGATGTTTTAAAGTCATGAAGTGAAAACAACACAGCTAACACCACTTGGTTTCTATAGCCGCTTTCAGGGGGGCGGGGGCGGGGGCAAGGAGAAAGAGAGAAAATAAGGCAAGGTACAAAGCACTCCATGTTTCAGTGTGAGTTGTTTTTTCTATTTGCTTTCCCTGCCAAAGCCATGTCCTATTTACCAGTATCTGTGCGCATGCAGCAAAATGAAAACAGCCCTCGCGTGCTTCAGGCCAGAAATGAATTTTCCCTTTATCTGGTATCACATCGCTCCCAGAAGCATGTTCCTAAAGGAAGCCATCGCTCACTGACGGGCTCTGTTTTTGTTTTAAAGCGTTCCTCCAGAAATCATCTCCACAGAAGAATGTCAGTCTCTTTAAAATTTTTCAACAAGAGCTGTTGTGTTTTTTTTAAAGCAGCAAAAACATTCTGACAATTCTGAGCCAGATCACTTTCATTATTACTAGGGGTTTTTTCCCCCCCTGTTTTTTGTTTAGTTTTTTTTTTATTATGGTAAAATGCACGCGAAAATTACCATCTTAACTATTTTTAAGTGACATTATTCATGTTTTTAATAAAAATAAGTAGCCTCTGGAACACAAGGAATTTTCCAGAACACATCTCCTTCTTGGGGAATTTTCCAGAACACATCTCCTTCCTAGATGTTTCTGCTGTTTCAGGCTCAGTGCTGAAGGCTGTCTGCTTTCATCCTCAGCAGACAGGTTTGCCGACTTCAGCTCCCATGGAGTCAAACAAGCACACATCAGGGGCGAATATGGTTGGGTAAGATCACATTTTCCATAGGCAATATGGCTTAAATCAATGATAGCCACCAATCGTTTTTCAAAGTCTCATTTTTATCCTCACATATTCCAAAGTTTTAAAAATATTATGGGGGTGGGGGGGACAAAATCATTTTAAGCTTCACCTCTTTCCTCTACTCGGTCTTTTCTTAAAGAGTGGTGGTACGTGGGGCCAGGATGGAAAGTGCATTAAGGAGAAGCAGGAAAACGCCTCAATGACCACAAAAGTCAGTCAGTAGTTAGCTCTTGGGATAATCTAGAGTTGACATATTCGAGAGCCAAGCCTGTCCTTTTCAGCTGTAAAAAGCAGGTCTCTGAAGGTAACAAGCAGCAAAGACAAAATAAAGCTCTAAAGCATGCTCTCAGTTCTTGGGGTTCTGTTCACAGGCTTTACCCGGAAAATCCTATATTCTTTTCGTTAAGGCTTCTAACTATTAAATGCTAGTTACTCTCAATGGCAAAGCAAAATACAAATCAATAGTTAATCACATGTTAAAAGAAGAGAAGATTCTTTGAAGTTGTTTTTGAAGAAGCTCCTGCTGTTGAATTAAAGGGAGTTTGGTGTTTTTGTTTTGTTTTGTTTGTTTTTTGTTTTTTGAAGAAGAGGAGGAGGAGAAAAAGGAAGTGGGGGAGAACAATGCAGTGGAAAAGCCCTTTTATTCAAGATCAAGCAGCAAACTCAAGTTTAAAATTGAGCCCCCTATAAACTGTTTCTCCCAAATACCCATTCTGGCATGTTCTAAATTACATGCCATCTCCGGGTAGGCCAAGCCCAGAAGGCTGGCGATCAAACAGAAGACAACTACACTCAGGAGAATTTTCCCAGTATCTCCCAAAAAATGCAACTAGCTTCGCTCTGCTTTTAGGAACACAGTTCAAAGTTGGGAGTCTCTTTTTTGCTATCCATTCACAATAAAATATTTATAGAGATTTGACATCCTTTGAACGTAAGTATCTCAAGTGCAACACACATAAGGTTCATTCAGTTTTACAAAGTACATTTTCATCAAAGCTACACATATTTTTCTGACCTTTCAGAGCCTGGAGACTCAAAATAGTTGTTACAATAATGAGAAATACGATACACAAGCAATCTGTTATCAAACGTAAGCCCGACTCTGATTACTTTTTGTATGTGAAGCTAACATAAGTCGTTTCCTTTGTCTGGAAATTTTAAATCAACTGCCCATCAGAAACGGTATGCTGGAGTATATGCTAGGAGTAGGTTTCTGAGTCTCCCTGTCTAGTCTCAGCCAAAACCTCACTTAGCCCTGCTCAATATAAATATTCCTACAATATCAATATTTCAAAACCTTAGGTCTACAGAGTTGACTCTATAAATAATGACGGAAAATGAGTAAGGTTAAAGCTGGAACTTCTAGTTACCAAACAGTCATGGGGACATAAAGTATAGCCTTGGGAATATAGTCACTCATATGGTAATAACTATGTGTGATACTAAGTAGGTACTGGAAATATTGGTGGGATCACACTTTGTGAAAAATATAATGGTCTAACCCCAATCCTGTACACCTGAAATAATACAAAATAATACTGAATGTCAAATGTAATTCAAAAAATAATTTTTTTAAGCTGGACCTTCAACTATTCAATTTTTAGGGTTGTATTTTTAAAAAAAAAACCACATGCACACAGTTTATGAGTTTGTTTACTTTACCTGATTATGAAATCAAATGAAAAAATTCTCACCTTGTGATGCCCAAAGTCATTCAAAATGGTCCCCAGTTTTCTGGTGTTGCCATGCGGCTTTTGGGCAGCAACGGCTGGATGGGGGTCCCGCCAGTCAATGGACAAGCGGTGGTGCCAGAGGCGCTGACTCTCCAGGATATGAGCCGACTTAACACTGGGATCAAAACGATGCACTTCACATCCGTTGTTGGCCATGCTGACCTCAAACTGGGTGTCGTCGCTTCCCAGCCTGGAGAAAGAGAAGAGGATGGAAGTCAACACACAAAAGCAGGCAGTGACGCAAAAAGTGTTGGGTTGGCAAAGTGACAATTCCAAGGTCGATTTTTTTCATTACATCAAGCCTTCTCCTCTTTTAACATGTGGCTAACTGTACACATTCAATAATCCTTCTTTCACAAAGAGCACGATGGCCGAAAGCTTCTGGATTACAGAGAAGAGGGAAATGATTTGCTGAACAGACACAGACCAGAGAATCACACGTTCAACATGTAGAAGCATATCAAATGGTTTTTTGTTAAGATGTAAACCATAGTAGCAATGAAGCAAAGATTACCCAGCTGTCTTAAGAGATTTCCTCAAAACACGTCAAAAATATAAGCCCCAGGATCAGTCCCCTTTGGGCAGTGGTCGGCAAACTGCGGCTTGCGAGCCACACGCGGCTCTTTGTCCCCTTGAGTTTTTAGCAAAGGCCAGTTTAGGAGTACCCTAATTAAGTTAGTAACAGTGTACCTACCTATATAATTTAAGTTTAAAAAATTAGGCTCTCAAAAGAAATTTCAATCATTGTACTGTTCATAATTGGCTCTTTTGACTAATGAGTTTGCCGATCACTGCCTTAGGGAGAGGTGCATTCTACTAATGAGGTAATTCGTCTCCATCCCAATGACCACAGTGCTGTGCATGCAGTTTGTCTTAAGGACAGCAGCTGTTTTCTTGGGAATAGAAAGTACTTGAAAATATCACTGTAAACAAAAGGCAAATGTACATGGTCCTACTGGATCCAGTACTCAAGAAGCTGAAGAGACACCTCACCTAAAATTCACACCAACAGGAGAGAGAAATTAGGTTTAAGTACCTAGTAGGTGGCACATCGTGTGCAAAATTCATATACTTAAAATTTTTAATTTACTCAAAAGTATTCCTTATTTAGTGACATAGGTTCATCACTTTGATTAAAGCATTAATTTGAATGAAAACATTAACTGAGAGAAGATAATTTTTTTTAATGGTGATTATGGCTTCTCTGCCCCAAATACTATAATTAGATGTGATTTAAGGAACCAAAAATACCACCGAGTATCTATAATACATGGGCCAAACCTGAACCCAGGGAAGAAATATTTCATTCTCTTAGACTCTACTATTTCAGATTACTTCACGATTTTGAAATATACGAGCTCATTGGATAACAATCATTTACCCTGTTCTCATTAAGTACAAAAGAGTTTTCAGTGCAGAGATTCTCCACTTCGACATTCTTATTTGCCTTGTCCTCTCCCTTCACGCCCACCTCATTGCTCTTTTCTTCACTGGATCCATGGCCTGCCAGCCCTCTGGTGTCCCTCAGTTATAATCCTCTCTATCCTTTGGCCTGGAAAGAGGTTCAGCACTCCTCTCACAAAGCCTCCCATTCCTTTTCATATTCTCAACCTCCTATTGAACTCACACAGTTCAGAATATTGTAGTCTCCACTAAGTTTTCCATGATCTAATCTGGTGTGGCAGAATGACTACCTAAAGCAGTGGTTCTCCACCTTTCTAATGCCACGACCCTGTAATACAGTTCCTCATGTTGTGGTGACCCCCAACCATAGAATTATTTTTGTTGCTACTGTTAATGAATCATAATGTAAATATATGTGTTTTCCAATGGTCTTAGGCGACCCTACTAGCAGTTCTCAACCTGTGGGTCGCAACATTAGAAAGGTTGAGAACTGCTGTTATAGAGCCTCAGAACATCGGATTTCATGCACCAGGCCACTAGTATATACATAATAGCCAAAAAAGAGAAAATAACCCAAATGTCCATCAACTGATGAGTAGCTAAATAAAATGCAATATATCTATACAATGCACTATCCTTTGGCAATTAAAAGGAATGAAGTATTGATACATGTTACATTATATAAAATATTATGACAATTAGCATTTTTTGCCAAGAGTTTCAGGAGTCCATTTTTCATGCCAGCAGGAACCAGAGAATCTGTACAAATGATTATCTATCTTGATAAAAATAATTAGATTATTATATAATTATTGAAATGATTATAATTAGATCTATAAACTGCCAACTACTGGAGGGAGAGAAATAGGTTTTCCAAAGCATTAATGATACTAAATAGTGGATAAAAATATTTTATAATAATTAATTGATTAATTAATACATTTTTATTAAATAATATTGCATAAAAATGCCAACTTCTTTTTATATATATTTTCAACAGAGATGATCTCACTCTTAAGGGGGCAAAAATTGATTCTTGGGTCCAAAAACATCTTCCTCTTTTTACATATAAAGCACAGATATATGTATTAATACTAGAGGCCCAGTGCACGAAATTCATGCACGGGGGCGGGGGAGGGGGTTTCTCAGCCCACACTGCACCCTCTCCAATCTGGGACCCTTGAGGGCAGTCGGACATCCTTCTCACAATCCAGGACTGGCAGTCGGACATTCTTCTCACTGGCTCCTAACTGCTCACCTGCCTGCCTACTCCTAACCACTCCCCCTGCTGGCCTGGTCACCCCCAACTGCTGTCCCCACCCACCCACCCACCTGATCTCTCCTAACTCCCCCCCTCCCCCCACCGCTAGCCTGGTTGTCCCTCACTGACCCTCCTTACTGGCCTGGTTGCCCCCAACTGTCTCCCCTGTGGGCCTGGTTGCTCCACACAGCCTGCTGCTCAGTTGTTTGGTCACCTCTCACTAACCCCCCTGCCAGCCTGGTCACCCCACACAGCTGTTTGGTTGTCCATTCAGTTGCAATGGTCACTTATATAGAGAGGTATTATTATATATTATATAGAGAGATATTATTATATATAGAGATATTATTATATATTACATAATACTAGAGGCCCAGTGCATGAGGGAGGGTGTCCCTCAGCCCGCCTGTATCCTCTCACAATCCACGACCCTCAGGTAGGGTCCCTAGCCCTGGCCAGTGATCAGGGCCTATGGGGACTTTCCTTCCGCCAGCTGCTGGCAGTTGACCCCACTCCCACCGCTGCCACTGCTTGCCATCCGTGCAACGCTGCCCTCCCTCCCCCGGCACCAGTCGCTTCCCTCTGAGGGCGACAGGCATGGGATGCCATCACTTGGCTGGCCCCACATATCTGCCACAGGTAGCCTGAGCCTCTACCATTCATCGCCCACCCGGCTGGGGCTCTGCTATCAATCGCTGTGCAGAGGGTGGCCTGGGCCTCCCTCTGTGGGGTGATTGTGGGGCAATGGCAGAGCTCCCCAACCAATCACATCACACCCGCCTTGGCTGGCCTGGTGCCAGTGTGTGTCACAGTGTGGTCACCCGGAATGTCATCCTAACAGTCATTCTGCTATTTGGTCGTTCAGTCAATTTGCATATTACTCTTTTATATTATATATATATGTGTGTGTGTGTGTGTGTGTGTGTGTGTGTGTGTGTGTGTGTGTAAACAGATCATAATATACCTATGGTATTAAAGTTCCAAGGGGTGATTAGGAAAAAAATTATCTCAGAAGTTTCCTTGTGTCCACGGTTTCTGATTCCTCATTCGTACATTCTGTGAGCTCCTGGTTAATTACACCAGTATAAGAGGACAGTGGAGATCAGTCATTGCTCTTGACATGCTCATGGCAACCAAAGTCCCAGACTTTCTATATAAATATTGCTCTTGTTGCTTAACCGTGTGTCATCTATCAAATCTTCTTCTGTCTAATGCTGAGAATTAATGTCTTAAAACCAAATTAATATCTTCAGCCCCCTCCCCCAGAGAACTAAAGAGGAGATGAAAAACATCTGCCTGTACATGATCTCATCTCAAGTTTTCCCTTCCACTCACACGCCCACCCCTGAAACTTCACATGAAGGGTGAACTAGGTGATTTCCCTCAGTTCACTTTCGCTACCTCCCTCAGCCCCCAGCCTCCCACCTGCTCCCACCATCACCCTCCACTCTACCCGCAGGAGGACTTGCAGGGCTGACGCGGCCCAAGTTCTAAGGGAGATTACATTATCACCTGAACCCACAGCCTCTCATGTCTCAGTTCCCTTCTCCCTAACATCGTGTTCCTTGTCAGTGCTGTATTAATCGCTGTATTCTACTCATCTCAAAACTGAAAAGGATCTGACTTTAATTTCAACTGACCTTCATACAGAGTACACTTTGCCAGAGGGGGGGGGGGGTGTTCTTTATCAGGACTTAAAATAAAAAGCTTTGGTTCCTACTACAGAAACTTCAGAGCGAAGGTGGAGGTGATACCTGCTCCAGTTCTTGGGAGTGGAGGAAGGATAGGAAACAGACCAGGAGGCAGGGCAGTCAGCCTGTGTCCTCTGATGCTCAGGTCCTCAGGTCCCTTCCTTCCTCACTCAGGAAGGTTACCCTCAGTTGCAGCTGCACCCATCGTCCTCCAATAGGATGGAAGTGACTGGCACAGCAGTGGCATGCTGTTGCTGCTGCCACAGCCCTGGGGCTTGAAGCACATGCTGCCAGGATGTAGGGGCCCACCTGCCACCTGCCCTCCCCACCTATCTCACCACTGTCCCAACACTCCCACCGCGGGGAGCCCAGGCACCTCATCCCAGGAGCACCACTCTGCCCTGGGCTTCTTTCTTCCTTCAGCATCAATTGAGATGCTGCCAGCTGCTACTCACCCCTCCCCCGAGCAAGCGATTCACCTGGGAAAGGGGGGTGCTTGTCTGGACCCTCAGTCCTGTAACAGTGTGATCGGCATATACACCACCCACAATCCAAAGCATCTTTGTTTAGGGCATAAGGAATGGTTTCTTTCGTTTCCAGTTTTCAATTAAGCATCTTCAAATATGGGCCCTCATAATCTATTCATTTCTAATGCCAGGGGAATTCAACTTTTCTTATCTGCTCTTTACAAAGTTGATTTTGAATAGTGAACATTTACATGAAAATAAGAAACTACCTTTTTCCATGTAATAATCAGATAGGTTACAGAAGAACCATCTTACCTAATGGCTCTGACGTATGAGGAAAGCAAGAAGGGATTTTAAAAATCTCTCCAAAAACAGCTTTCCCAGTTCCATTTTACTCAGTTATATGCTTTAAATGAAATTATTCCGGGGTGTAAAATATTAAGCAACATATAAAAGCCATTTGGAGCAAGAAAATAAGACTAAGCTGAGATCGCCAATTTGCATGTGGTACAAGCAATTATTTTTATGGCCGACTTTCACACATTTTTAATCTGATATAAAATAAACTCTCCTGTCACAACTTCCCATTCTTCCTACACTCTTGAAGCAGAGCAGCTGGGATCTCAGCGAAAACGCTCTGTTCTAATCAAATGGCTGGGCAATTTAGTTCCTAAGGCTCGGGCCTCCAAGTCTAAATCACAGCATCGCCAGCCAGCTGCCCTCCTTCGTCTCCTCACCTCAGCAACCATCAGTGGAGCAAATCCAGGTGTCCCCAAAAAGGTGTGCGCACGTTAGCAGCTGATAGCTGTTCAATGAAAAGGAAATACTGCCTTTGCCATTGTATTCGAAGCGTGTATACATTTTGGGGGGACACCCTGTATACACTGAGTGCTTGCTCTTATCGAGCTCCGCTGATATGCTTCATTTAACCCACAGAAGAATGTTTCTATTATCCTGAAACTCTTATTTGAAACATGTGTGTGTGTGTGTGTGTGTGTGTGTGTGTGTGTGTGTGTGTGTGTTTTAAACCCATGGTGACTATCCTTAATAATTCTTGTTTTGGTAATCCTTTTATAAGCGGTGGTAATCCTCCAGGCATCAGCACCTGTGGGTAGGCCTCCACGTCGCCCAAGTGTCTGCCCCTAACACCTACCATCTAGGATTCTGGTGTGCAGCTGTCACTCATGTGCCTGAATGTAAGTCTGAGAGGTGATGAGACCTATTGGTGAGGAGCAAGCCTACGACACTTGTTGGGGTCCCCGGTGTTTCTGTGAAGGTCTTGCCTGAGGACCTAGCTGCATGGCTTCTTCTATGCACGGGGTGCTCCAAACAAAAACAACTCTCTCCTGGCTTTTCTGGACATACACCATTTGCAAGCTCAGGACTGTTTAATGAGCACTGGTGTATTTGGTGGAACAGTTTCGTTTCCTTATGTTCACCCTTTTACAAAGAGCTCTCTAAATCAATATGTACATGTTAGGTCATTTTCAGCCTGGGTGACTGGATATCAGTATTTCCCACTGCTTTGACAAAATCTGTGGTTTCATAAGAAGTTCCTTTTCTTTCTTTTTTAATGGAAAAAATATATCCAGATTTGCCACTGGTACAAAACATGCAAGTCCAATCGTGGCCACTTGCCTTGGGCCACGCATCAGACTGTGCATAAAATGTCTAATGCACTCCCTGTTCTTCCTTTTCTCTAGGTGCACTATTAATATTTGTCTTTCTCTTTACAATAAGGATGCCCCAATTCTCACTGGAAATCACTGACTTCACCAAGAGGATCCTCATTAGGCTGAAAACCGAAGTTGCCAACTCTCTCCCTGCAGAATGAGGAAGCGGCCCTGACCAGTTCGGGTGAACTGCAAGGACCCGCAGTTACATCACAGACAGATGAGTCTGAACGACGGCAGGAGGCAAAGCACCGCCCCTGCCACACTCTGCCCCCATTCATAACTCCGTGCCGCTGGAAAGACCTTGGCTGCCTGCAGAGGTGTTTTTGTTCTCGTCCGCTGTGCAATGTACTCACCCTAAAGAGTAGAGACGGCACTGCTTGTTGCGGATTTGATGAGCTAAGCCAAACCTGTCATCAAGACAAACCGACCAGGGCTTCTTCGCGGAGCTGGAGTCGGTAGCCAGGCTGTCGGTACTCACGTGATCACAGGCAATCTGCGGGGATTGGAAATCCATGTGAATAATTTAAAGCGCTGGATGATAAATGGCAGGTGGGCACTTACTGCTTCCCTGTTCCCTGAAAACCTTAGCGGGAGAGTTCTGTCTGCCACGGCTAGCTACGCCCTCCCCTGGGGAAACACCAGACCGCTGTAACATGTTCAGAGGAATCCCGAGTACCAGGCTATGAATTACCTCGTGGAAACCATAGGCAGGTCTGAAGGGATGTTAAGAGCTGCCGTGGCCGAATGCACAGAGCGCACGGGTGAGCACGTCGGGAACAATGACGGCGGGAAGGAGGGTAAGGAAAGGCTTCACAGAGCTGTGTCAGTCTTGGAGGATGAACAGAAGCTGAGACCATGAGAACATTCCAGACACGGAGAACAGGGCTCCGAAGACACAGAGGTCGGTCACCCACAGCGTTCCTACCAGAAGTCGTGAGATACGACCACAGGCCTGGCCTCTGGAGGATACAAGATTATTGATTCCTCATCTCAGGCAGATCAGGTGGGTCCAGAGAGGTAGCATGGGTTACCCAAGGCTAACAGCTGATCAGGGGTCATGGAAAATTAATCCTAGTCCACGCGAAGAGGACAGTTCGCTTTGTAATACACTCCTCTCTGGAGCTTCCTGCTGCGGGGAGAAGAGAATGGGGCCAATATATATGTGGAGACCAGGAGTTCAATGGCTCCCTATGATATGCACTGACCACCAGGGGGCGGCATGGAATGAAGGAAGTCCCTGGCCAGCAGCTGGCAGCCAGGGAAGGGAGGCCCTGACTGGCAGCCAGAAGAAAGGTCCCAGCCTGCAGCCCGAAGGCCCCAGTCAGACCTGATCGCCAACCAGGCCTAGGGACCCTACCTGTGCATGAAGTTCATGCATCGGGCCTCTAATATATTTACATTCTTTTCCCTCAACCCAGGATCTCTGTCTACAACCACTGTTTAAAGGGAACAAAAATTAAAAATGGAATTGAATGTTCTCCCAAGCAACTAGGATACATTTATTAACTGAGTGTGGCAACATATTTGTGTGATTTATTCCTGTTATTTTTCTCTCAGATAAATGGAAACTATGCCTCTGCCTTCCCACCTGCTAGTCTCCACCCACCCACTCTGCTAATCTAATTAGTCAGAGCTGTGTGTTCGCTGGGCCTGCTTTTATTCGTGGGCAAGTTGCTGTGCCTTAAACATCAGCAGCTCCACTGGCACTCTGTTCATACCCTGCCTCCTGGCGCAGTTATTAGGCCAGGGCAGTTCTTTGGGGCCCCAAGCACCTGGTCCTCCGAGCTGAGCCACTGGCTCCAGGGCAGCTTCCTGGGGTAAGCTTATTCAAGTGCCACGATGATGCCTCTCTACGGCTGTTCCTGGGCGGACCCCTCCCTACAAACTGTCGTGATAGCCGATTAGGATAGGGAAGCTCATCGTTCTTATCCAGAATTCCCTCCTAACGGCATTAAACCCTAACTCTGGCCTCCCTCACAATGTTCCTCAACGTGTGGTCCCCCTACATTCCGATGGACCTGAGAGGTACTTCAAGATGCAGATTCCTGGGTGCCACTCCAGGTCTATAAAATCAGAATCTTTGAGGCTGACGCATGCATCTCCACAAGTTCACCAGGTGATTCTTATGCCAGAGGTCTACGATACCTTCATAAAGCCCCATTGAAATGTTTAGCTGGCCACCCCTGTGCTTTTGCAAATTAAGAGAAGAGGCTACTCTTAGGCTAGAGCTTTCATCGGAAAACGGCAGCCCCTTCAACTCCACCTCGAACAAGGCCAGAGAGGCAGTACCGACAATCAGCCAGAGGCCCCTAAGAGTCTGGTAAGTATTGAGGGTCAAGATTCAGGGCTTTGGGGTTCAGCTGCTCCTCCTTTGCCAGCATTGGAAGTAGATTTTTAGTCTATTAAAAAGGACACTTAAGGCATTTCTTCTTCTTCCACAGACTTCATCGTGCACAGATAGATCCCCATTGGAAAGCCATTCTTTACCATTCAATCTCTTTGCTAATGTTCCCCTTTCCTCTCCTAGTTCAAAAATAAAACACACTTCTTCCATTTTAACCATCTCATTGACAGACTTAGTTTTTGAAAACAACTAAAGTAAAATTCAGCTCCAAAAAAATTAATTAAATATTGATTTTTCAAACTTCCTTGTTAAGATTTATGGCTAGGGCTTCCATAAACCCTCTTGAAAGCAAATAAGTGAGGGCAGTAACTCTTAGCTCAGCTCCAACTCCAGTAATTATGTCCCCCCCCTCTCTTTCTTCCTCCCCTCCCTCTTTTCTAATTCCCCTAATAATTTTGTTCATATAAAAGCAAATTAGGTATACACAAAGGAAAATAGACTCCAGGAAGAAAAATGTTTTCTAAAATGCTTTCTAGTTATTTAACTTAAAGGAATATAATTTATTTTTATTTTATGTTGTATTGCAGAAGCTTGAATAACTTCTCTGCCAATCCACAAGTAGAACATGGTGAAGTTTGTGGACTTTTGGCCAGAAACACTTCACTGACAAACTGCATGTTCATGTAATAACACTATTTGGAAAGGTAAAATCTCAAGGAAAGGGTTGTGTTTTTCTTGCTTTTATCCTAATTTGTATTTGTATGCATGTGTGCATGTAATAGTAAGCATAATAAATACTATGTTATGAAGTTCTAAAGTCTCTTTCCAGAATCTAGGTTCTGATGTTATCCTTAAAAAAAAAAAAAAAAAAAAAAAAGCTAGAATGGTAAATGATTAGATATTATAGATAGATAGAGTTTAAAACACATTTTATTTTTTTTAACCAGCAACTGTTGCTTGGATTAATTCTGTGCTGCACAGCATGCTTCCTGGAGGCATATGGTTTGGGGGTTGCCATCAAGAGCCAGATCTGGAGCCTTCCCAGAACAGAGCTCTGTGTTTATGATTTAACCATTAGTTAGCAGCAGCGTATTATCAGCTGCAAAACTCAGAGATGTCACCGTGCTCTTTCACATTAGAAAACAACACCCGATGAGCTGGAGCTTGATGTTCCGTACCCTCTACCCAAACGCACATCCTCAGGTGCCGCATTCAAAACACAGGGCCCCAGTCATGCCACCAGAGGCACCGCGATGCAAGAGCAGGAGTGCCATCTCCTTGGCAGTCCCGTGCCGCCCTGTCCCACGCACAGGGCTCCTGTTCCTCAGCTCCCTTAGCCTGGGGAAGCTTCCCCCGCCCACTGACCCTGCTGGAACACAGCTCTCCTGCACCCTGGCTGCTTAGCAGGGCATCTAATCCAGGTTTGGCCTCCCAGCCGGTGTCCAGCAGAGTGCCAGCCACAAAGCAGGAGCTCACCAAACATCCGCTGAATTGAGAAAGGCATAAATCAATGATGAACACAGCAAATGCTGGGCCTTGCTGTACCAGTTTGAACACAGATTTGAGTGAAACAATTTTTTTTTTTTTAAGCAGCAGAGAGGACGGGGGTGGAATTTGCTTTAGTGCCTTCACAGGTTTAATTTCTTTTCCTTGCCCATTATGACTCACTGGAAATTTAGGCAACTGGAAATTTTAGGCAATAGTGACTCTAATATTCTGCCAATTTTATAAAAATTCCTTTTCAAAATGAATCCTAAATGAAGCATAGCCCCCAAAGCACCCAAGAAACTGCATTGCATAGAAAGGGAGAGAGAGCCATGGATAGCAAAGGATTCTGTTTAAGCACAAATTAGTGCCATCTCTGATGAGCTCCCACCTGCTGGGCTCTGAGTGACCCGGAAGTACACAGAAGCACAGGACTTCATCTGGGTAAAGTGACTCCTGATCACAAAGCCATTCTGAGGTCTGGAGCTTTAGCTCATTCTTTCTGGAGGACAAAAATCCTCCTAATGAGCTTCCTCAACCAAAAATCTATTATTGTACTCACCTAACTGAATAAACATTGTACATCCATTTCTCTGCCTTTCCAATGAGTTTGTTCGCCTCTTGAGACTTGTGGTATAGCCCCAGGGTCTCGCACAGTTCCTGGCATATAGTAGGTGCCCAAAAAAGAAACCAAAAACAAAAACAAAAAAACAATCCTATACTACTTTTAGCACAGTACAAGGTCACAGGACTGAGAGGGACCTTAGAAACAATTTAGTACTCTTCCTTTTCAAGATCAGAAAAGCAAAATAAATTGCCCAGGGTCACAACATCAGAGCACACAGTAGCATGCTTTTATGTTCTCCTTTTGGAATTTTTCTTCTCTCAGCCCCTCAGTCATGGGAAAGATCCAAGAGGGGCTTGAAATGACCTTTGCATGCCTCAAGTGCCTCTTCTAAGTAAATACAACCTTCCAAAGTTACAGAGCATTAACCTGCAGTACGAACAAAATGGTATGAGGAGGCTCTCACTTGGTCAATTTTTTTTGGGGGGTGGAGCCCATCGTTCTCAAAATCAGCTCACAAGTTTAACATCTCTGCTTTTTCTCGGGGGCCTTTCAGGGCCTCTTAAAAGTCACAGCACAGACGTCCAGCTTCTTATTCTTCACGTAAAACCAAACCATAAGCTTACAGTTTCAGGATTTTTAATTAAGTCTGTGTGAGGCCACTAACTTCATCTGAAGCAGCAGAATAAGATAAAAAGTATGTAAAGCACAGGGACCAATTTATCATCCCCTTCCTCATGATTAATTCAACGCCTTTTACCTCCGTGTCTAGGTGACGAATATTAAAATCCCTGATTGACTGCATCAGAGAAATGAGACTTCCTTCTACCTCCTAAATTAGCCTCCTAAGCATCTAGAAATGCATTCTCTCCTGTGGATGAAAAATGGGCTTTGCTGCCTGTGAGGTTTGTGGGGGTGGAGGAGTGGGATGCCGAGAGCCAATGGGTTGAAGGGGCTTCAAAGAACCAGGGTCCCCAGTGCCCACCCCAGCAGCCGGCAAGGCTTGCTGAGTGGGCCTGCGCCGCACAGGCAGCCTGAGCTGTTCATTTAGTAGCACCTCTCAATTCAGGGCGAAGTTTCCCCTCTGGCATCGATTTCCTCTCCTCTCTCTCTCTCCCCCCAGGATCAGGCCACTTGAGAACGGAACCTCCTGATTAATGTGTCAAGAATCACAGACTCTCCTTCACAGACGATCTCTCTGCCTGCTCGGGGCACCGACTCAGCCCGCCGAGCTGGCCGGGAGCTGCCACAACGTGTTAAGTCACGCACACAGGCCAGCGCTCAGTAATGAATCAAAGGGCCCTCGAGAGCAGAAAGCCTCTGGATTCATAAGCTTTTCCTCCAACTGCCTGCAGCATCCCCTCTGCTCTCTGGCCTGGCACGTCCCTGTCTGCCCAGCATCTGTTGCAGAAAAGCAGGCAGGCGGGACCTCCAGAGAGAGAACGAAGCTTGAGCCTCCTCCGGATGAGGGTTTTGTCTTGTGACACACTCGACTGCCTACTCACAGGAGCAAATCTGTCTCTTCAAGTGGTTTTCCAAAGCAATTTTCTAAAGTGGATCCTTACAACGCATCAGGATGACTCATGGAAATGTGTCAGGACGGCAGTGCTCCCGGAAGGGAGAGGATGCTGAAGGATGTGGAAGGACCCTTCTCTGCCTCTGAGAGAGTGGGTACAGGCAAGCAGCGACGCCCCGGAAACCATGTCCCTCTCAGGTCCCCCTCAGGGGAGTCCCTGGAAATCTCCCCACCCCTTACCGACAAATCCTTCTTCAAAAGGGCAATCAGCCCTAACCGGTTTGGCTCAGTGGATAGAGCGTCGGTCTGCAGACTGAAAGGTCCCAGGCTTGATTCCGGCCAAGTGCATGTACCTTGGTTGCGCGCACATCCCCAGTAGGGGGTGTGCAGGAGGCAGCTGATCGATGTTTTTCTCTCATCGATGTTTCTATCTATCCCTCTTCCTTCCTCTCTGTAAAAAAAAGCAATAATATATATATATATATATATATATATATTTTTTTTTTTTTTTAAGGGGGGCAATCAGTATCTTTTGCATCATCTCCAAACCCCCTCGCTCATGAAACACAACCTGGGTGGTGCTGATGTATCTCAGGAACCTCGAGGCTTCTTCATCCAGGGACTGAGCAGGGCCTGCCCAAGGCTGCAGGTCTATGTGCCACCGGGAACCCTGAAAGAGAGAGAGAGAGAGAGAGAGAGAGAAAACAGAGGTCGGTGTGTAAGCGGGGAGGAGTTGGGGGAGGGGGGGCCTGGAAATTCAAGTAGGAAATAGGCTGACAAGGCTGCTTATCCTTCACATAAAACCAGCGGCCTGCGAAGCAAGCTTCACTCCTCACAGGGGACAGGGAGCTGGTGGAGAGCTGCTGTCACTGGGGCCACATCAGTCCCAAGGAGATAAATGAGGCCTGAGGAAGCCCAGGAGCAGGCGGAGCAGAGATAGCCAAGACGTCCCCGGGGACGCTGACTCTTCTGATCAAAGGCAAACTCCGCTCGCTCGGCTCCACTCGGCTCTCCCAGCGGCAGCCTTGCATTACACACGCTGGTCCCATTCAGAAGAGACACTCCCCTGGTTTCCAGAGCTCAGTGCTTCTGAGACACCGGCCTCCCTGTGGGCAAGTTTCGGGTCTCACACCACAATGCCTGGAATCTCGCGTTCTGGCACCTTCCCCTGCACAGGGAGCCACCCAGTGTCCCAGACCTCCTGGCCTCTGGGACCTGGGACACGTGGGCGGGGAGGGGTCACCAGCAGGGCTGGAAGGGTAACCTTCTAACACTGTGAGCCCCCCCCCCCCCCCCAGCAGAGAGCAGTGGAGCTCCTTGAGCAGAGAGGCTAGACATAAACCCTAAGGCCCCTTTTGTGGATGGTGGGGTGGATGAAGGGTTGGGAGAATGCAATGGTCTAGAAGAAACAAAAATGGGGACCCACTCCAGTCAACAGCAAGCAATCATCATGAGTCCTTGCTAGAGTTCAAAGTTCATCTCCTAAGGTTCTTAACACCTGGAAACATCCTGGAGGCTCACTTCTGAGGTGAGTATGGTGTGTGGGCAAGGGCCGGGAGCTGGAGAGGTTCAGCTATTGGAAGGGGGCATGTCTAGAGTCAGAAAAGACCTTGGGTGTCTTGTCACAGGGTGCAGAGTGCTTGGGATGGCCTCCTCAGATCCCTTTTATGGTGAGGAAGGGGGCAGGGAGGGTTCTGAGGACAAGATCAAGAGACCATCCTAGCATATACATTGTTCTCCAGTTAGGTATTGTTATGGTCTGAATGATTGTGCCTTCCCCCACCCCCACTTCATCAGGTGCAATCCTAATGCTCGATGCGATGATCTTAGGGTGTGGGGCCTGTGGGATGTGGTTAGGTCATGAGGGTGGAGCCTTCATGAGTAGGATTAGTGCCCTTATAAAAGAGGCCTGCAAAGCTCCCCAGCCGCTTCCACTTCCACCATGTGAGGACGCAGCCAGAAGGCGGCAGCTATCGCCCTGAACAGAATCGCGGTGGCATGCTGACCTTGGGCTGCCAGCCCCCAGAACTGTGAGGAACACATTCCTGTTGTCCAAAAACCACCCAGACTGTGGTGTTTTGCTGTGGCAACCCGAACAGACCAAAATGGGTATTATGGCGGGAACTGTCCATCATCCAGAAAAGAAACATCTAAACAGGTTAGGCCTGAGATGCTTTAGTGCAGATATGGTCTGTTGCTCCTGGCCAGTGAGGTGGCCTAGATGGCTTGAGGTTAACCTGAAAGCAAGAAGTGGGGGAACATGCAGGTTGGTCAGGGTGAAGGCCAGTGTGTGGGCTTGGGGAAGAGGACCTCACTCTGGAAGGAGGGTCTGAGATAAATGCAAACTCTTTGTCAGCGATAAAGGCTTGTTCCAGGTTAGGCATTGCTGACTCACTGCAGAGAGTCCCCGGGGCCCACAGTATTACTGTCCACGCAGGTCCGCACCGCCTCACAGTGGCTGAGCACCCTGCAGTCCTTCAAAAGTCTTCACTGATTTCCCACTGGCTGCCTCTTCCTCAGGAATCCTTCAGGCAAAGCCGGTGTCATGGGCATGCCACCTGCCTAGTCTTAGAGGCTCATGCTTGGCTTCAAGCTCTGCTGACAATGTCTTGAAATTCTTAATTTTTGAATAAGGGGCCTGCATTTTCATTTTGAACGAGGCCCTGCAACTTATGTACTTAGTTTGCCCTGAGGGGCACCTTTTCTAGAGGAACAAGCAGCATTTTCTTAGAGCTCTGCTTGCTCAGAGAGTCTGAGCACATTCGCTCATGTATTTCCTAGTTAATATATTCTATACCACCTATTTTTTTTCCTTGTGAATTTGTTTTTATTGCAATAGAGGGGATGGGCCAAGAAATTTCATCCCCACCCCCCATTTTTCCTTTTCCCTTTCTGAATGACATGTTATCATTTGATCAAACAATATTTACAGCGTGCAAGCCACTGGCCAACACAGATGTGAATAAAACCTGGACTCCCCCAGGAGATGCTCACAGTCTGCTGAGGGAGGTGAATATGTACAAATTGACTTTGATAGGGAAATGCTGAAACACTGGGGAGAGCTATTCTCTGCAGGAAATGGTTTAATTATGAAATCACAAATGATAAGCACATTTAAATACAAATGCCTCCTAGTCACATAGTTTGCTTGGTCACATTCTTTTTGCATAAAATGACAAAGATTGACTTCCCAGGTTGCCACTGCTGTCAGCACAGCAGCGCAATGCCCTGTGGCAAGCCTGTATAGACCTGGGGCTTAAAGATTCCCATGGCGTTGGTGTGGGCCTGCTCCCAAGTTGCCCTGTAGCCCCAGAGCCTCCTGATGAAAATGATAAAGTTCACCCATTATGGTTTTCCTCTAAATCAGGGTTTAGAATTCTGCAGGCCATACAATTTCTATTGCAACTCCTCACTTCCGTTGTAGCTCAAAAGCAGCCTTAGTAAGTCAACAAGTGCTCATGGCTGTTTCTAATAAACTCCGTTTACAGAAATGGGCAGCAGGCTGGACTTGGCCCACAAGGCTGTCGTTTTCTGACCCCTGTTCTATTTGATTATAGTTTGGAGGCAGAGTGGTTTAGAAGAGAGTTTTTCCTTTTGAAATAAGGCAAAAGAGGCAGATTGCTGAGAAGAATTTAATAGATTCTTTGCAAAGGTGCAGACAGGATTTAAGGACACCAAGAAGGAACAACACAATAATATTTGTGGCAGGTAGCACCACAGAGCCCTTATAAACCATAAGAGCAAAGAGGAGGCGGAATTTTGGGAACCCAGAGAGGGAATCTATGTGGAGAAGGCACTTAATAGAGGAAAATAGAGGAACATAGCCAATCCTATCACATCCAGTCCAATTACATACCCACCCCAGCTGTCAAACCCAACACAAGGCAGAGAAGAGGAAGACTGGATGTAGTGGTCTATACCAGTGGTCGGCAAACTGCGTCTGGCGAGCCACATGCCGACCACTGCGTAAGGCATTACCCTTGCCCAGAAGTTTTGACTTCAGGTTAAAGACATTAGTACATTATTAAAATGTTTTTAAAGTGTTTTTCCCTAACGCAGTGGTCGGCAAACTCAGTCAACAGAGCTGCCGCAGTTTGCCAACCACTGGTCTACAAGGTCAGTCTCCAGGGTGCAGAAGAGGAAGGGCAGGCAACAGAATAGATTGTGAGGGGTCCGTGGAAGTTCTCCGGCACAGCATCCAACGGTGAACCAATATGGTGAAACTATGGAGTTCTCGCGAGGATTCACAAATAGTATCTTTCTTGCAACCTCATATTTCTCATTTCCAACTGAGTGCTGGCCACGACACTATAGCTGGAACAGTGAATAATGTAACTTGAAAGATCTCAGGTAGGAGTATAATGGAAACACACAGCAAAGAGATATCCTCAGAAGTTTCTGCCTTCCTGCTTTGGTTGACCTGTTTAAAAAACATTTCACATAATGTTCCTACTGGAATCAGTCTGACAGTAATTTGTGACTATTTCCCCGAGGAAACCACTAGCTTTTATCATCTCTTTCAGTTATCATTTGTCTTAATTCTTAGCACACACATCAATATGTGTCCTTCAAAAAAATCCCACAAACAGAATTTTCTGAGCATCTTAAAACATCAATGGCCAGTATTTAATGGAACAAGGCAAAAAAAAATACTTTTAAAATTTTAATCTTTATGATTTCGTTAGACAAGCATGAACAGAACAAAAAAAAAAATAGCTCAGGTACAGAATATCACCAGGGAAGAAAGTCTCAGGTGCCTAGTAACAGGCAGAACGGTAAAAACAAGTATTAGTAGTCCAGACAGTGGTCAGCAAACTTTGGCTTGTGAGCCACATGTGGCTCTTTGGTCCCTTGAGTGTGGCTCTTCCACAAAATACCTGGGCGAGTCTAATTTGAAGAAGTGGCATTAGAAGAAGTTTACATTTAAAAAATTTGTCTCTCAAAAGAAATTTCCATCGTTGTACTGTTGATATTTGGCTCTGTTGACTAATGAGTTTGCCGACCACTGGGCTAGGACTTTAATCACAGGATATAACCTTTCCTCCCCTAGCATGTTGCTAGTCACATGGTTTAGACCCCCTGACCCTTCATATGGCTAGTCATTCTGTTTAGACCCCTTTACAAGAGAAACAAGGGAGCTAGAGATTAGCCTCATAAGACTCCCATATAAAAACCTTGCTCAACCACTTCCTTAAGCATTAAGCCCTCAGGACAATGAGGTTCTGGTCAACATCAAACATTCTTAGGAACAAAGCCTTGGGTCTATTGAACACAGAGACAGAGTTTTGCTCAAATTAGAGATAACATCTAGACTTCAGCTGTGTTTCATCTCCAGCCCAAAAAGGCAGCAAAATCAGATAAAGGGATGCCATGGCTGATATCAAATCCAGATGTAATGACTAATGACTCCTCCCCTAGCACCAACCAATCAGTAAAGACCATGACTGTGAAGAGTCACACATGGAAATCTGATGAAGATTCTATTGAGATCCTCCCCTGACAAGATCTCTTTCTCAAGATAAAGGATCCCAGTGATACCTGTCTGTCTCTCCCTCCTTCCCCCTCTTCCTGCTCCCTCCCTCCCTCCCTCCTTCTCTCTAACATGCACACACTTCTTTCCTTCTTCAGAGGAATACTATGGAGCACACCCCTACCTTTCCCCGCTCTTCT